TGCAAACTTTCAGATACTATTTTGATGTTAAATAAGCAGAAACACTTCAGTTAATCTGAAGAGCAGTATTTCACACTCTTGCACCTATCAGCAAACTACTGAATGACTTGTTCCTTGCATGCCTCCTGTTCCAAAATATATGTTAATGCACATATACTATGACCCTGAAAGATGGCTGTGTTTTCATAAAATTGCAGCACAATAATCACATTGGATTACACTACATTTACTTAGAAATTAATAGTCAAAAGAGCTTTACAGGGCATAATTTTAAATTATTCAAAAGGGGCTATGGGAGAGTAGGTTTGTTGAAATGAAGTAGGCTTTCTTTCATAAGGGCCAGTTTCCGGACAACTTTTTCTGGAGCACAAAAATGTAAGCAGGTTCAGGCATACTTGGGTGAAATCAGGTTGAAGAAAACATTGGAAGTAGACAATGGCCAACTACAGTCCTATTCTTGTCAAGGAAATCACATGGATATATCTAAGACATCACAAGATGTCTTGCTCATCTACAATGTAGCTTTAATTTATTCAGTAAGTTTATGGAAACTGGGCAAGATTGATTGAGAATGCAAACATCCTATTCTAAAATTACTGGATTCGTTGAAGTCATAGCTCATCTCTGCAAAAGTTAAAACATAATACATTATGTGAATAAATAAATGGTATGATTCTTACTGAGAGACCAATGATCCAAGGATCTGGTAATGCAAACATTTTGAGATGAATATAGTTGTCAACAGGAGATTCAAAAACAAATAACTAAAAAGCAGTTTCTTCTCTCTTCTCTCATGGCAGGATGCGCTGACCCTACATAAACCCCATGGTACCATAGTCCACATACATGTTCTGGCAGTACATTGCACTTTCCGCCAACAAGGCAAAGGATCCATCTTGATGTGGCGCTACCTACACTACCTATGCTCTTTTCCTTATGTGCGTCGAGCCACACTAATGTGTGAAGACTTTCTCATTCCCTTTTATACTAAGTGTGGCTTTAAAGTGCTAGGCCCATGTGAAATCTCTGTTGGTTCATTAAATTTCATTGAGATGAACTGCGCTATTCGGGCTCATGCATTTATGCGTAGAAATAGTGGCTGCTGAGATATTTCCTCTTCTTGTTACTTTCCTACTATCTGGTTAAAAAACAAAATAATATCTGCTGTGATTCTCAGTCCTTGAGGTGGAGCTGAAGTCTAATGAATCCAGGAGGTGCTGAAAGGCAAGACCTTGGGTGTCCATAAGAGCCTTCTGATTCAGCAGTATCTAGCGAGTAAACCTGCTCAGTCTGAAAAGGAAGTAGTGATAGATCCCACCCTTTGAAAGTTTCGCCATCGTTACTATATGATGCTTAAGAGAGCTACAAGTGATAATGCACTGTAAGCTGCTACAGTCATTCAATTGTAAGATAAGAAGAATGTAAAGATTATAGGCATGGCTGCCTTTAATAATTATAGCTAAGCCTCAGACTTCTCTCGTGTCTTGCACTGGTCAAGTTCTCACATGTGAGTAAAGCTGTAATGGAGTTTAGCATATTGTTGTTTAGTTTGATGTGACAACTAGACCACTTTGCATTGAGCAACCATGTGGAAAAAAAGTGTTAGGTGAGCATTATGTGTGAACATAATGACTGTAAAATAAAATAAGGAATAATGCAATAATTTATTTTCTCAAATTTAAACCATGAAGGCAGCAAAACATGATAGCTGCTTGCAGTTCTAAGTACTAAGATTTTGTTGTAAATTAGGAGTATTGCAGAGAGTCATTATAAATTATGCATTTTGCCATTCATGTTTCATTAACAATAACAGTTCTATTTAAAAGAGGAGTTCAACTGCAGTGTGAACTCATAAAATTGGTCACTTTCAGATTCATAGTCTTTAAGCAACTAAATGTATTTATACAAAACTTACTGTAAGTTATTGCTTTTAGTTCACTGGAGTGCAATTCAATACCTTGTTATACTGGTTGGTTTTATGTAACGGTATGTAACTTCGTATGTTTTATAAATATACGCTCCCTTAGCGATAAAGCCATGACAGACTTCCTTCCGAGCAGAATTCCTGTAAATACATCATTTAATTGCCCCTTAATGCATATGATGTGCAGTGAATTCTACTTGTGAAGATACCCTTGACACAGGATGGAAGAGAAAATAGATGTACAGTGTGTTTTTGTCTTTGTATATATGTGTGTCATTGTTCAGCCCCATCAGTTGTGAGTAAAGGGACATCTTTGTGTGTATAAATTTTTCATTTAAAGCCAGATCATCATCTATTTGCCTGCCATCCTGTTGATTTTAGAAAACTAGTAATAACTTTTTATCTATAAAAATGAGGTTTATAACAAGCCTGAAGTCTAGAGATTAGGCAGTGGAGTAAAGCAAGGGCCAATCTGTTAAGCCATCTATTCCGCAGAAAGGCTACTAATGTGCATGATACAGGTAGTTCTCCACTTCAGGCTGTTCATATAACAATGGTTCAAAGTTACGGTAGCTTTGGAAAAAGTGACTTACAACCTGTACTTGCATTTAACGACAGTAACACCACCTTGGGGATTCGTTTAACAACTGCTGTAAAAATTGTCTGATTCTGACTCAACTTACGATGAAAATTCCAGTCCCAATTGTGCTCATAAATTGAGAGCTACCTATATAAGTCATAGTACAATGATAGAAAACTAGTTGGGAAAAATATTCTTTTCCAATGTAGCATAAGCTAATCAGGGGTTTGCAAAACATTTTGAGATCCAAGGGGGTGGGGTTTTTCCCACAGTTGAAATGGCCATATTTTGAATATAGGGTCAGAATGCCTTTTACCACCCATTGTTTGAATTTTAAATTTTTAACTAATCCGATATAGACATGGGCATTTTCTGATACAATCTGGTCTACTTACCATAACTGCAGTAGAAATAAAAACAGAGCAAGGGAGGAAGTTAGGCATTCTGCCTTCCTTATGAACAGAGCAGGTGCCTGTCGGATTTTTATTAGTATGGGACTGGGAAAAGGCTCCTTGTAGTATAAGCCTATCTACTAAAAGTAAGCACTGCCAAATTCTATGAGATTAGCTCCAAGGAAAATGTTTAGAACTAATTATAAAGTATTTGCACATTTGAATTCATTACTTGGTCAGTCTTGTGCCTAGGAAAATGTTAAAAGTTCTTGCCACTGAATAAGGAAGCAAACATTCTCCAAATGTTACTGTGTGTGCCATTTACCTCGTCAGGTCAGCAATAAATGTTTTTTTTTCCAGAACATGTTCTTGGTTCCCCCCCCCCCCCCCCCCCCAGTTCCTACACCATGATGTAATCGATCAGACTATGACACTTACCAGGAAGTAGTTTTATACAATATAGCCAGGTTGAGCTTGTGAGTGGAGGTGATGGCAAAGGATGAATTAACTTCCATTACTTGGTACAGCATACAGATAATGAACAAGATTCCAAGAGCAGGGGGTAGGAACACTTCAAAAAATTACTAGTCAAGACAGTAGATACCTGAAAGGCAGCCACAGGGCTTTGTGATACATGTATTGTATCATCATGGCACTTTTGACAAGATACTTGCCAATCAAAGATTTGCAAGCAACAACAGTGTAATGGAAGGGGAATAGCAAGCTTTAACCAATTTTGGGAGGAGGTGGGATACAGGGGTTAAACATTAAAATTAATATACTTTGGATGCAAAGAAATGATTTCCAAAACTATCTTTAATGAAAAATAGATAAACAGTGTCAACTGGGACACGTTCAGTTTCATCAAAGGAACAGTCTAATATTTACAAATTAGCAACAATAATTATAGAAAAATATTCTCAATCAAAGGCTCTAATAAATTACTACTTAGAACACAGTAAGATTTTGGAATGCTTTGTTGCTCAGGGCAAAACAATGAGTCAGAATTCTAAATTAACCGTGCTATGTAGTTATAGCATGTTCTGCAGGATGATGTACCTCCAGCTTCAATACTTCTAATTGAAAGAAATACACACAATAACATACATATACTCCTCACAGAATTTAAACTCATTTATTTATACCAAAAATCTTTTTTACACTTCTCATTTTGTCACTAGAGAATCTAATTACCTTCCTTTCCTTTTAGAAAGGAGTTATACTTCAAGTGTTAAAGAAATTCCAGGTTGCTGCGTTATCAACCCAATGTAAATATTGGAATAACTACCCGCATTTCTTACTGAGGACAAGGTGCCTTTAAAAGCAATGTTCTTGGTCAAAAAGTATTTCACCCTAGTGACGTACATACGAGATTGCAAACGTAAAACAAGAATTTGCATATAAAAATGCCCCTTGTACAAAAAGATGGGGTTTATTTTCACAGTACAATTCCTAGTACCATAAAAAGGCACTAAGGCAGGGAGGACTGCCACAAGGTCCAAGCACCATATTGTGCCAAAAGGCACTAGGAAAGGAACCCCAAACCAGGATTTGCATAAAAAGGAGGGATTTCAAGTAGAAAAACACAAGAGACTGGCAGATAGTCAATGGAAGTAGTTCAGCAGGATGTCCATAGCTAATACAGTCTTTGAAAGTCATTGTGTGGCTGACCCCCATCTCACAAATGCCCAATCAGCCTCACAGATGATGAAGGACGTCTTTGAATTCCTTGCCAGTTCCTCAAAAGAAACTTGACCTCGAAGGCTGAACTCATGTCTGGGAGGGATCCCAGGAATAAAGCTTTACAGAGACTGCCTTCTGATGCAAGGCACATAAGTGGGAAATGTTCTGATAACCCCTGATTTATACTTGTAACTCTCCAAGTAATGGTTAATTGATGTTTAGGGTTGCTACAGAATTACACCTAGTTATATTTTACCTCACAAAAGATGGCAGGGTTTACCCACTTGCCCAGCTTACTTGGTGCATGCTGTTTTATGAATGATACTTAAAACTTCCAAATAGAGAACTGGAAATGAAAATGCTCTGCTTTATACAGCCACAGCTGCCTCTGTCCTTGTTCCTCAAAATCCTTTCTACTTAGTCCATTTAAATGCTTCATTAGTGCAAGGTCTGGTCCAAGTCATACTTCTCACAAAACTTGGTTGTGAAAGGCAAGCAGGTTAGATACTCAGTCCAATGCCAATTAATAGGATATACATATAGCCAGATCACAAGCGATGTAAATAAACCAACAAAGATCAGTAGTGAGACAATGATCATCACCCGTTTGCAATATTTGTCTGCAGTACCAAAGGTGATATAGGGCAGGAAGGCAAAAGAAAGTAATAGGCCACTGAGGAAACCAAATATGTGTGCAATATTGTCGATCCATGGCAGAAGGCCGCAGGCAAAGAGAAAAAGGACAATCCCAGAAAGATTTAAAAAAGCCTTCCAGGGACTCTCTAGGACCTGCCAGCTCTGGAACAGCTCCACAAAAAGGCAGGCTAACAAGCCAAACTGGGATCCTGCTGGGCCCACCTAGGGTAGAAGGAAAAAAATAAATTATAGCAGGATATCTTGATGAATAAAGAGACATTCCTCCCCCCCACATACACACAAACTAGCAGGTATTATAGCTCCAAAGTTTTGACAATTAGAATAGTTTACAGTATTCTTCAGAAAATTGCTGAAAATTCCTATTCTACTAGAGGTGGTATTCAGCAGGTTCTGACCAGTTCTGGAGAACCGGTAGCGGAAATTTTGAGTAGTTCGGAGAACCGGCAAATACCATCTCTGACTGGAGATTTTACAGTATCCTTCCTTCCCCTGCCACGCCCACCAAGCCACGCCCACAGAACCGGTAGTAAGAAAATTTGAATCCCACCACTGTACTGCTTCTGTCAGAACCATAACATAGTTTATTAAGGGGCATGAACACACTTCAAATCTTCAACAATCAATCTTTTCCTGAGATAATTCTCTGATCTAGAAGAAGTCAACAAGGCAAGCAGTTTTTAATAACAATATTCCTCTGAAATTGTAGTTCAAATCTTCTGTCCACAATGTGAGAGCCGGTTGTGGTAGATTTCAGCCTTTGGCAAGTAGGAATAGATGTAACATATGGTATATTGGTCAGGAAACAGGCTATTGATAAATGAACCAATGGTTTGATTCAAAATAAAAAAAAGGCTTTAACATACAATTGTAAAAAACAACAACAGAGGCTGGGAAGCATGTAACTTTAATTTTCTTTTTTATTTCATTTCATCCATGCAAAAACTAAGAGTTTTTAATCATAAACAGATTAAATGAGATGAATGAAATGGTCAAACTTGTTTATTTCATTTTGCAGTCTTCAATTCATCCCATTGCCACACTAGTTTGCAATTTTAAAGACTATATAAATTCAGAAACATTTTTATTTATTTTATCATATTTGAATATCCACCCATCTCACATGAAAGTACCTCTGAACAGTATACAACACTTAACTTAATTTTATGTTTCTATTAATGCTCTTAATATCTTTATTTACAGTACTTCTAAGCTGCTATTTGCAAGCAAACTTCTGTTGCATTCTGCATTTTGTTAACACTTTTATATTAAAATATGTATTGCTCAATATAAACAAATATTCTTGTGAATAGCTGTTTCTTCTTTCTGTAGTGAAAACTAGATGACGTTCACATTCAAACGTAAACAGAATAAAGCAATGCTCAAAATTCAGTTTATGTGAATATATTCCTGATTAAATCAATGTAGGCTTTGTCTAGATCTTGTGAAGGATGCGTAGCACTATGTATTGGTGGAATTCAGGGGCTGCCCTAATTTGTCACAATTCTGGTTGGCTCACCAAATACAAGAAAAAGAATAATAGTTGAAAAGCAAGGTACTGCACTGCTACAAAAAGAAACTAAAAAAAGAAGCTGACAACCATTCAAAACATACTTGCCCCCACTATCCCAGAGCCTGGGGACCCAGCCAGGTTTTAAGGGCTCATTTAAATAGGGCCACAGTGGGAGTCATAACATGGTGTTTCAGAAGGCAGGTGCCATAGCAGAAAAGGATCTTATAAGATGGCTCTACTTAATTGCTGGGCGCTGGAGCTTGCCAACTTTGTCAGAACATGTGAGGTGGGCAAAATTAATGGTTCCTCAAACAAACAAACCAAACAAGCAAGCAAGCAAACAAACAAACAAACCAAGCAACCAGAATTAGCTATTCAGCTATAACAGGGTGTTTATTTTATTTCAAACTGTTCTCAATTTTCTACTAAGAAAACAAGTACACACACAAACCTTAATGAAACATTAGAAAGAAATTATATTAAAGGGCTTCGATCTTTGTCTGTTCGTAGCACTAAAGAAAGTCTGGGTTTGAAATGGGCTAGATATACTTGAAGATTTTAAAAGATTTCCCCAGCATATAAGTACATGGGAGAGCCAAGGGTTCAGAATGTTGACAACTCCTCCATTCTAAGTTTCTCTTAGAGCAGAGGTGGAGAAATATGGCCCCTTTATTACTTGTGAACTCCAGCTCCCAGAATTGAAGCTCCATCTGGCTCAGGAATTCTGGGAGTTCAAGTCCACAAGTCATAAAGGGGCCATAGTTCCCCATCCCTGCTTTAGAGTGTATGTATGTAATCTATTCTCTGCTTCCTGGTGCACACATGCAGATACACACCAATGATACACAGGAAGAGCAGTATACTTGCCTACTAATCAGAATATGTGCATGTGTTGCTGTTTGTCTGTGCGGCCTAATCAAAGTAGATACAGATGTGTGTCCTGTATATGTGTATTTGAAAAGCTACTCAGAGACAACACATATGCAGTTGCTGCTCTGATTAGGGCAGGGCTTTCAAACTCAAGGCTTGCGGGCTGAATCCAGCCCACGGGGTGATTAAATCCAGCCACGGGGCTGGCCTGGAAATATGAAAAGGACTAGCCCGCAGTACCTCTGGTGGCTAAAATAGGCGGTGTGCCCCCCCCCATGCGCCTCGTTTTCACCTCCGTGGCCTCCTGCAGCACTCTGGTGGCAGAAAACACCTGAAAATGAGCTGAAAAATGGCCCAAAAAAGGACTTGAAAATGGCCTGAAAACAGCCAGCAGAGTGCTGCAGAAGGCAATGGAGGGTGAAAACGAGGTGCAGGGGGCCGTGCATGGACATCCCCTCTCGCCCTGTTTTGGCCAGCAAGGTGCTGCAGGAGGCATCTGTCCCGCCACCCCCTCCCACTGGCCCCCGGAGAACTACACTGCTGATCTGGCCCTCGAAGAAATCCAGTCTGACACCTCTGGATTAGGGTCTCAAATACACATAACACAGGACACACATCTGCATCTACCTTGATTAGACTCACACAGACAAACAGCAACACATGCGCATATTCTGATTAGTATACACATATACACAAACAGATGCAAGATATTACAGTATAGTATTCAAAGTACATGCCTCTTACAACCACTCCAGTAAAAGGTTTGAAAAGAATTCCAAAAGCCGTGCACTGCATATTTTCCCTACCTTGTTTTAAAGGCACAGAACATGTTTATTCAGTATGAATATTTCCTCTGCTTGTGAGTTTTTGCAGCATTTAAAATTCTAGAAGAGGACATTATTATATTTAAAGTAATAAACACCTACATGAAACTGTTGAGCAAAACCATCCGTCACCACGGATGAGGTATTGATGGTACGCTGATGACAGCCAATTATATATGTCCATCCTGGATGAAGTGATGATGTGGATGTTTTTTTGTGGTGCCTGGAAGTTGTGGGGGCCTGCATGGGGAATAGACAACAGCTGACCCGCGGTAAGATGGAGTGGCTGTGGGTGGGCCCCTCTGTATGCAGGAATTTATCATCTTTGGATGGGGTTGCACTATCCCTGACAGACTTGGTGCATAGTGTCCTGGACACATGGCTCCTGGTCAAAGAACAGGTGACAACTGTGACTATGAGGGCACAACTTTGTGTTGTGCGCCAGTTACACCTTTTCCTGGATAACTAGCACCTTTGCTCTGTGAGAGCTGCATTGGGTGCCAGTTTGGTCCCAGGTCCAATTCAAGGTGTTGGTGGTGGGTGACCTATAAAGCTCTATGGAAATATCTTCCATCACATTACATTGGCTCATCCCAACTGGTCAGGCAGGGAAGGTATGTTGCAAACTCTGTCAGTTAAAGAACTCCAATTGCGGACTCTAGAAAAAGAGCCTTCTCTGCTGTTGCCCCTATCCTGTGGAATATTCATCCCCCCCCCCAAAGTTGAGGCCCTCACTTTCCTAGCCTTCTGAAAAGCAATTAAAATAATTTTGGCTATTTTCTTCTAAGAAGCCCAGAAGAGTATGCAGCTGTAGGCTGGCTGGTGCCCCGAGAGCCGTCTCTTCACCTTTTAACTAATTTTGACAATGTTTAATCATCCTTGCCTCCTTTTAAATTTCTATATTTTAAATTTATATGTCCTGTTTTTATATTTTAAGATAATTTTATATTTTATTGTGCACCCCCCGGTTCCTCTCTGATGGAGATGGGCAGTTCAAAAATGTGAAAAATAATCAATAAATCAATAAAGATGGGATTAAAATCTAATAAAAATAAATTTCCATGCCCCAACGAATTAGGAAACTAAAAGATAAAAACTACTCTCGTGTATAAGAGACAGCGTGCCAGCTGAAGGATTTCTATCTTAAATTATGCCAGTTTTCAAATAAACGATGGTGGGACATCATCAAAGTTTATCAGTTTAAAAGATGGGGACATTGTCATGATGCTACAATATCACTGCAGGAGAGAGACGCAAGGGTTATCCATCAGTTGGCATTTTGCTGCCTCATGTTCCCAACAAAGCAGCACCTGAGAAGCAGCTGATGCTGTTGAAGGGATTACAGAAATGATCTCCTTTACAGCCTGTTAGAGCTTCAGATTAGCCAACCATCTCTTACATCCGTCAAAAGGCATGGGTACTATCATGTGAGAACAAAAACAGACCCAACAGTGCTGGCCCGGCACATGGAGATAGAAAACTACTTTTAGGAGAGTCTCAATTCTGCTTCACATAGAGAATGAGGCAGATCACTCATTTCTGTAGATCAATAAAAGGAAACTAACTATCTGCAAAATATTTGCTACCATCTTCTCACTGAAAGAACTGCACCTTTTTCAGGATCAGAAAACAAAGGTAGCTACTTTAGTGAATTGCCATGATCCTAAAAACAAAGACGGCTTCTTCAATGACTTGCCAACAGGTGACGTATAGCACCTTTTCAAAGTCAAATCTGAAGCACTGCACAGCCCCAGAATTTGGTTTATTTAATAGAAAACATAATTTAATTAATCTCTTATACTTCAATTTAAGCCCTCAGAATCTTCACATTTATGAACAGGCACTACAATTTATTATGAGAGCCCTTTCCTTAACACAAATCTTCTGACGATGATTCTGATTGGAGTTTGGCAAATATTCTTTACTACAAAGCAAAATTTCATTTTTAAACTAAGAATAGATGAAATGGAAGTGTCACAGGTGCTATTCTACCATGCCTGATTCTAGCAGGATAGAGTCTATCAACTTTTGCCTTCAAACAACAAAACCATTTGTCACTTTATTTACCCTGTTGTTGTTTTTTCTGAATTACACCCCACTCTTTGTTATGCTAGAGCTTTCATTTTAAACAAATTCTGACAAATTTGCTTGTAAAATGACACAGAGAAAGTTTGTGCGAAGTATAGCTTCTAAAATTCTTTCCAACTATTTTACAAACAATGACCATTTGAGTCTTCTGTTTCTGCTCTGCCCTCAGATTACCTCTGTGTGTGTGTGTGTGTGTGTGCGCGCGTGCGTGTGTGCGCATGCACATGAGAGGACATCATCAGCGCAGGTGCATCTCTGTGTGTTTACCCAGGGCAACATTGCACTGGATTGGAAAGGCTGCTGAGACTCCCTCATTTCGGTGCCTGCAGTTTGAAGTGCATAAAGACCAAAGGCTCTCAGTTACAGGCTTGCAACTAGTATGTAAGAGTACCAGTTGTTCACTGGCCCAGAAAGCTATGCATCACATCTTGTATACTGCTTGGTTGCTAAGGTTACTAGGAAGGGAAGTGGAAGACCCAAGGGAGGGGTTGTTGTTGCTGGTGCAGCCTTTCAGCAGACCTCCCAGTCTTCTCCACTCCCTTTCAAATCAGCAGTCAAAGAAGCTGAATCAGCACTTCCTTTTGTTGCCGCATGTCAGCAGTGACATCATCAAATGCCCTTCGGCTTCCCAGTCAGAAATCAGATGGCCAGAAATCAGATGGCAGCTGGCCAGGCCAGCTGACTCTCCAGCCACGCGCCAAGAACCAGGAGGAAGCAGGGGCGTGAGACAAAAGGAAGACTGCTCCTGTGGTCAAGAGAATTTGGCAGAGGTGGGTCAAAAGCTGCTTAGTGCTCTTTCCGAAAACTTTCCCTAATGAATTTATTTCTCAGTAACACTTTCAAAGAGGCCCAGGGGTTTTCAGATTAGAAAAAGCAAAGAGACTCCAATGGACAGAAAAACAAAATAAAAATATAAATAGGGCACTCTCCCAGAACTGGAAATGGAGGTCACATCTGAACAATCCCCAAGTTTTAAGTGCAAACAGATTCCTGCCCACTAAAAACGTAACAGATGATACTGCTCTTCCTCTTATGTTAGCTTTCTATATGGAGATTTGCATCAAGGAGTATTTAAACGTTTGGGCCTTTTAAAAGACTGAAACAATATTATCTTAGACCTCCTCTGTCATATTAATTTACTGAACCTATTAGAACTTGCTATGTGTGATTCACAGATAGCTTTCCTAATTAGATGATTTCTGTCTGCCAGAGGAACTGTTGCCCTAGATTTTTTTTCATGTTAGTGCTATGAAGCAACATGTTTGGCATTGAAGTCACCAAATCCTATGTTAAATTATGATGGAAGGCAAGCATACACGAAGCTAAAGAAAAGGAATTGGGATGAGATGAGAATAGGGATGAGATGATGCAACCTCAGCTGCAAGGTTAAATCAAATAAGACACCATTAGTTTTACAAGTGGATTTGTAATATTAAGAAAAAATATTTTAAAAATTAGACTTTAGAATAATCTACCTTTAGCAAGCTAACTTGGGCCACTTCTCTGATTAACACAAACCCATATGGTATACATGTCCTCTCATTTCCCTCCTCCCCAATGTTATAAAATCTCAAAGATTAAATGCAAGGTAATAAATGCAAGGTAAACATTGAAAAGGAGGGATGGGGGGGGGAGTTAAAAAGTGACAAAAAAGGAAAAGGGATACCTTCTCACTTTCTCCAGTACATTTACAAATATATAATAAAATAATCTCTTTTATATTTCTATCACCATAATAAATCTAATCATCAAATCCTAAAACCAAAACCTTATTTGCAACTTATTGCAATCCTGACATCACGACAACCTAAAAGCTGACAAGAAAGAAAAAAACACCCTCAATTCAATAACACAAGCCAGATCCAGTCTTCCAGCAGTACAACATGCTTTACAATTTATTTATTAATCATATTTCTATCCTGCAACAACCACAGGATTCTTAGTGGCTCACAAAGTCCAAATATAGCATATGGCACTAGCCTCAAAAGTTCTCTGGTAAGTTCCGTCTGATTTATTTTTTTATTTTATTTTTTGGAAGGTGGAAAATGTTGGCAGCACAGAGATCTGTAATAGGAGATCCTTTCAGAGGGTTGGTCCCATCACTGAAAGACAAATACTTTTAAGCTTCCTGACCTTCTGAATATGAGATACAACTACAAGGTTCTCAAGAAACTGATTCCAGTAGATCATTATATTTCCTTGGCACTGTGGAAGGCAAGAAATGACAAAGAAATCTCATATTGAAGTAGTCTTATCTCTGTTTACTGGGTGGCACAATGGCTGAGGATCTGGAGTGACTAATGGAACCTCAACCCATTGTGGACAGGTCTCAACCTTGTCTTAATACTGAAGTTGTCAGTTGGAAAGCTGACAGTCCAGGTTCAAGACCCATGTGTGATGGGGTGAGGTTTCATTAGTCACCGCAGACCCTGCCAACCTAGTAGTTCGAAATATGCAAATGTGAGTAGATAAATAGGTACCACTTCTATAGGAACAGTTATTGCATTCTGTATTTTCATGTGAGCTACATGATGACGGAAATGTCTTCTCAGACAAACAAGCTCCTTCGACTGAGAACTGGACATGAGCACTGCCCCCTAGAGTCAGTCACAACTGGACAGGGGAAACCTTTAGACTTTTATCTCTATTTACCAAACTGGGATGCCAACAATAGTTATGGCCCTGCCAAACACCCTTTGTGCATTCCTTCCCTTTTGCATGCTAACAAGACCAAACGTTTTAGGTTAAGAATACTTCCTCTTTATGTCCATGCTGGAAAACTATAATTATTTCAGTATGTGATGCTCACTTCAAAACCATGACTTCATTTTCAGAGCTGATCAAAAGTCCTTTATTATACGTTAGAATTAAGGGAAAGCTGTAGTTCACTGGAATCTGCTGGCTTGTTTTTCAGTTTCATGAAGTGACTACATTCTCAACCTGAACAATTGTTCATGTCTCCAATGATTAGGACAACATAGGATTGTCTGAAGAAAGCCAGCATGGAGATAGAGAAAGGGAATATGTATGAGAAAAAGATAGATACAGTAATTATATAGGAAAAATTTTAAAAACCATTTCTTCTTATTGTTCATATGCTGCCTTTTGCTCATGCAGATCCTACTTTTACATCAGTGCCCTGTGAGCGAAACAGTGTTCTCAAACAGTGATCTCAAATATTTCAGAACCTAAAAATTGTGTATTTATATCACAGTGACAAAAGGAGTTCAACTCCAAATAACATCATGAGAACATATACAGTATGTGATTGTACTGGCAGTTGCAGAAGTGGTTTGCTTTCCCAGTCTAGTTTACAATCTTCACATTTTCTGTTCTCCCATACTTGTAGTAACTTGGACTGATCTGGCTTAGCTTTTTGAGATCAATCTAGGTCAGCTGTGTGCTGCCAGCTACTCAGGAGATAGCACAGTTGGATTGTGCCAATATGTCCTTTTTATTAATCTTATTTGTATATTCCTTTGCTATAAGAATTTAGTACTGGATGCAAAACATTCTTGTTGATTGTTTACAGTAATCAAGTTCTCCTATTGCTACTGATTTTGAAGATTTAATAGCATTTTCAAATTTCGAGGCTACAAAACATGGTCCAGTGCACCTGGAGAATATTGCTTTTAAGCTAATTCATACAACTGTAAGAAGATTCTTCTTTAACAGAAAAGCCCAGTAATGGCCTTACCTCTGCCCTGTAGGGTAGGAAGATGGCACTAGCCAGATTGCCTGTGATGCCACTGAGGATAAAAATGATAGTAATACGAAGCCAGCCTGCCAGCTTTTCCAAATCTCTGAGCACTGTCATTTGGAAGATCACAGACACCAGACAATGGACAATCCTATGGGAGATAGACAATTGAATCAGATCAAAGTTCCTCTTTCCTTCAAAAAATACAAAATTAAAATAGCCCTTCTTCTCCACCTCTGCACACAATACCAGCCTGCACAATGTTACAGATTACAACTGTTGTACTAAACGTTTGCCAGTTGAATAAATAGCCTGGATTGCCATAAGGGATCCTGAAATCAGTTAAAAGACAGGCAGCTAGTAGATAGATTGTGGTCTCTTCATATATTGTTTGATCTTAATTACTTTGGGAAGAAGTTTTGACTCTCACTACCTAATAGGAGTAACACAACATGACTGCACAACCATTCCCATCAGTCATACAACTGAAATGGAGGGGGTGTGGAGAGACACAACTTGAAAAATGAGAATCAGTGGATGTATGGGAAGACCATGAGGTCCACTTAATTCATTCAGAAGAAACAAAAAATCCGGATAGGTTTGAAGGGCTATACTTACTCAAGCCAATTATCAGACAGGATAATTACAGGATTAAATTCTGAGGTATTTTACTTTTTAAAAAATCTTTGATTATATAATCACCCTACATCATTAATGATATTTTAGATAGGGTGTGGGTATCACCTTCTGATTGGGATCATCTCGTTTTCATTACTTCCTTTATATTTTCTTACTTCCATTAATCTGTCCCCAATGTATTAAAGTGCAGAATAGTTGCAAAGTGTTTGTTGATTGCTGATGCTGAAGAATTTCTGTCTGGAAGTAACTTATGAATGCTTGCAGGGCAAAGCCAGGAAAGACCAGGCCTGAATCAGTTAGCTAGGCCTCATTTCTAACTTTTTGGCTCTGATCAACAACTCACTCTCTCTCTCTCTCTCTCTCTCTCTCTCTCACACACACACACACACACACACACACACACACACACACACAGAGAGAGAGAGAGAGAGAGAGAGAGAGAGAGAGTCAGAAAATCAGATAAGCAGCAAAGGAAAACTGAACAACTAACGACAGATAAGATACTGACATTCCCAATGTTGGACACAACAAAAACACAAAAAGGTAGTTTCAAAGCATCAAACCTCACTCCCCCTGCCCCCTTTGGCTTACCCTGCATGAAGGAATAAAGACAACCACAGCCTGTAGAACTGATCTGGAATCTCTGGGTTAAGAAATGGTAAGAGGCCACATACCTCACCCATGCAGTGAACCTGGAACAGAAAGAAAAAGAAGTCTTTAAAGTATGTAGATAACTTTTGTCCAACCTGCTGCTGGCCAGCCATGGATTACATCTTCCAGAATCCCCAGCCATCATGGCAGGAAATGTCAAAAGCTGTGATACAGCATATATTGAAGACCACACCAGATTTTAGAGGAATGTAACAAGCAGTTTCTAAATGAAGGAAAAACAGTGGTCTTGCTTCTTGACCCAGTAGGACTCAAGGGTGCCTGAGATTTATTACTGAGCATACTAGCTCTCTTTTCTTTAAAACAAACTTTATTGATTATAAAACTAAAATATCAAACAAACACATACACAACACACAGAAGAAGAAGAAAAATAGGAAAAAAGAAAATGATTGAAAACTAACAATTCTACTATCGACAGTCTATGGTTCCTTGTTTGTTATCAATATTGGTGATATATTTACTAACACATCTTATTGCGAATATAATTACTACCTCTTTTACATTTTACGTTGTTTACTAATATATTTTCTATTTTTGTTCTATCCAGTCATACCAGTATTCCCAGCTTCTATAATATTCTGATGTTTCTTTTTCCTTAAGTGCTAAGGTTAACTTGTCCATCTCTGCACAGGCTGTTATCTTCTGAATAACCATTTCCTCTGTTGGAATATCTGCTTGTTTCCAACACTGTGCAAAGGTTATTCTGGCTACAGTGAGAATATGCAGTATTATATATTTGACATTTTTTAGAAATTTGTCTATTAAATATCCCCAATAGGAAGAATTCTGGTTTTAATTCAATTTGCTCCGCCATTATTTCCTCTAACCACTTTTTTTATTCTATGCCAGTATCTTTGGGCTTCAGTGCAGGACCACCACATGTGAAAGAATGTTCCCTGTTTCTTTTTACATTTCCAGCAATTCGGATTCATGTTAAGAGACATTTTCGCTATTCTTAAGGGTGAAAGATGCCATCCATAAAACATTTTATAGGCATTTTCTTTATATGCTGCTGATTTTGTAATTTTATTATTCCTTGTCCAAACCTTTTCCCATTCTAATAATGTAATGCTACGTCCTATGTTTCTGCTCTAAGCTATCATGTTGCCTTTGACTACTTCCTCTTCTAATTCCATCTCTAGTAAATAATTATAAAATTTAGTTATATTTTTTTTATCTGGACCTAATAAAATTTTATCTAATTGTTGTGTCTTAGTATAAATTCCAAAATTTTTCTTGTCCTTGCTATATCTATTTTGAATTTGCAAATAAGCCCACCGGTCTACTTGTAGCCCTTGTTCTTGGAGATCTTGCCATGATTTTAAAGTTCCTTGCGCATCAAGAAGGTCTTTGTATTTTATCATTTTATTAAGATCTAGATTATTTGGATGTATCATCGCCTCCATCATTGAGATCCAAATTGGGATTTTTAAATAATGTTTTTTTTTTTATTTTGTTCCAATTAGCCAATAAGGAATTTCTAATTATATGCCTGTGGAAATACTTCTGCTTAATTTTTCCAGTGTCCCATAAAAATGTGGGCCATCCCCTTTGTAAATCATGGCCTTCTAAAAATAAGATCCTTTTATTCGACAGATTTACCCACTCTTTCAACCTAAGTGAGGAGGCTGCACTATAGTATAATTCCCAATTTGGGAGTGCCATACCTCCCCTGCTCTTCATATCTTGCATTGCCTTTAGGTTTATCCTCGGTTTTTTCCCTAGCCAGATAAATTTGGTAATTATCTTGTTAAGTTCCACGAAGTAATTTTTATTTATTTTTATTGGTATTGTTTGGAATAAGTAAATAAATTTGGGCAGAATATTCATTTTTATAGTGGCAATCCTCCCTAATAAGGAGATTTGCAATTTAACCCATATCTCTAAACCTTTTTTGACTTGCTGTAATAATTTATTATAATTATTTTCCATTAGAGTTTTGCATTGAGCCGTCAACCAAATTCCTAAGTATTTAACTTTTTTTTACTATTTGTAATCCCATTATCCTTTCCAATTTTAGTTTTTGTTTTTCTGTTAAATTTTTAATTTTGTTTTTCCCTATTAATTTTAAGTCCTGGTAGTTCTTATGTCGTCTTGCGTAATTTGTGCTCACTCTGTATACTTCATCTAACTCTTTCAGAATATCGTCCTTATCTTTTTCCAATAGGTCTGCTAATATTCCTGCCATCACTTGTTCTAAGTCCTCTTCTTTAGATTCCATTATATTTTGGAATCTCAGATATGCTGCAGCCTTGTCCATTTCCAAATATACCAAGGAGTCGTCCATTTCTTTACTCACATTTCTTAATTGCTGAACAACCATTTCCAGCTTCTTTTCCGTTTGTTCCGGTCTTTTCTCAACCTCCTTTATTGTTGATTCATTCTTTTCTAGTACTTGCTATATTGTTTCAATTTTTTGATCCAACTTTAGGATGTCTAGTTTCATTTCTGCCTTTAAGTTTCCCATCTCTTGTTTTAGTTCATTTGTGTCAGCTCTTGATTCGATATGATTTTTTACCACTATTTCCTGAAGCTTCAGCATGGACTCTTGTAAAGTAAGAAGGGTCTATTGAATATTGGCATTCGTGACGGTAGGTTGTTCTTCTCCAGGTAGAGTTTCTTCAGTTGTCTTTTGTGCCATCACTGAGGTTGATGGCATTGAAGTTGTTTGTATTAAAGAGGTCTTCTTTCCAGTTTTAAGTGTTGTATTAATGACAGAGGTCATTTCTTGTAAAATTTGTTTTTGTTTTTGTATTATATTAAATATGTTGTCCCAAATTAACATTCACTATTGAGAAGTACCAACTATAAATGGCCACTACACTAATTAATAGGATATGTTACAGGATTAACCTCTCTTATCAATTATATATATATATTCTCCAGAACACTTTTACAGCTAATTTCTAAATCAAATATCTGGATTTGTAAATCTTAATAATATATCAAATTCCTCTATTTAAATTTAAATACTATTGACCTGTATATCTATAACTGCTATAGAATCCCAAATCTCAAAATAGTGTTATGAAAAGTGTGTTATAACCAAATATAAACTACAATATTTACTAATGTATCAATTAAATATATATAAATTACATTTACCACATTCAAAAATCAGTTAAGTTGACGTCAAGAAATAATTGTAGCAATCTTCAAATTTAAAAGCTTAAAGTGTCTTAATATAATTGTTCAGTTCTTCAAGATTCCTTCACCGAGCACACGGGAAGCAGAGTTGCTGAGTAATGTCTCTGATTTCACTATCTCACCACACTTTCCGCTGAAGTCGTTTCTCCTTTCATTTGAAAGTTTTACAAATCAATTTTTAGGTTCAAATAGTCTCTTTCTTTAATAAATCTTCTCCACTTACTACAGCTCCAGTCCAATAATCCAAAAGGGGACCAGTAAATTATTCAGTTTCATTCGTGGAATATTTAAGGTTGTAATTTAATTCCTTACTTCAAGTCTCCCACATCTCGAGTTCATCCTTCCAATTTTCCCCAAAGTCCACAATTTCAAATCCTTCAAAGTTCCCTTAAATTAAATTGTTATTCTTTCTTCTTCTTTTTTTTCCCTCCCCGAATTATTATCAGTCTCTCAGATCCCTCTGATTCTCTTATCTTCTCTGTCCCATTGCTCACGTCCTTACCCTCTTCCGTCTCACGAGCCCTTTCGCTTTCGCCGCCACTCATATCTGCTTTGGCTCCTGTTTTGGGGCTTCGCTCCGACTAAGATACTCCAATATTCAACGCTCAATCAGGATCGCAAATTCTTTCACTCGCACTCTTCGTTCACCACAGTCTGTCACTCACTCGCTTCCTCTTGTATGCAACGATCAAGGCTTTAGGACCGCCATTGCTGACAGTCTCTTGTTGTCGGCCTCCACAGTGTTTCTCTATGTCATGATGAGAATCGCCTTTTCCACACCGCGACCTGAGTCTCCCCACACTGGCACGCTTCTCTACAAGATGCGTGCACCCCAAGGGTCACTCCAACAGCAAGAGGAGATAGCGTGAAACCCAGGACAAGCTTCAGCACCTCCATTCGCCCATATCATCTGAAGTCCTATCCATCCATACTAGCTCTCTTTTCAATTTACCACAGTGCTTTCTAAGAGTGTGGTGCCAAGGCATTTTTCAAAACCTGCCTTGACCTGCTTGGCACGACTTAGCTTATGGATATTTAACTGAAAGCCGAGGCAGCATCTGTGAACCTTGCTGAGACATTCAGGCCTAGCAACTACTTAAGAGGTCAGATCCTGATGCTGTCCCTCCTCTGAAGTTCTTTAGCTCTTTCCCCAAACAAGAAATACTACTCTTCTAGCCTTAATCTGCAAGTGCAGGGCAAACATTTGATATCAACACACTTTGGGATAGCCTTTCCCATATCTGACTCCCACTAAATGATCCAGTTGCTGGGATTTGAAGTTCAACTTCCCTTGAAAGTGTCAAAACAAGGAAAACTGCCTGAGGACATTACTTGCCTGTGAACAAAGAGTTGCTTCTTCATGGAAGTGGCCATGCATGAACTCACAGTACTCCCGAGTTGTGATCTCACAGCTAATATAAAGAGAGCAATAGAGTCAGTTTAATTCATCATCCCTTCTTTTATCTTGATTTCAGTGGTATGGATTTTAATTACACTGACTTGACAATTGCAATTTATATTTGTATTTAATTTCATTCTTGTAAGCCACTTTGGTTGCTTATGCTTTTTAAAAATAGCCATGTGAAAAAATGTTTTGAATTCAAAACACTTGTTCAAACTTATAACAGCAATTTTAAATATCTTGGAAGTTCTTTTAGCTTCAAAGACCCCAAAAGGTTTCTTTGAGTCTGAAAGGCTTCTAAGATGGTCAGAGCAGTTAAGTTTCATGCTTCAGCCTGGAACAATTCAATTGCAAATCATTTTGCAACTCGCCAATCAATAACAATTTAGCTAACTAATTTTCAATTCTCCATTAAAATATGATGGATCCCCAGGAGGGAGGGTGCATTGCAGAACAGTAAGAGACTACTAAATCCAAATGTTATGCATGAAAGAAAGAGAATGAAGACAGCCCCTCCCTACTAGTCCACAGGGGGTAGATAAAGATACTGGAGTGTTCAGTCTGGCAAGATTTTGTCTCTAAGTGTGAAACAATAAAGAACGCAGCTTGGAAGAATCACCGTGTGTCATTCTTGGTTTTGGGACTGACAAAAGCTTCTGTCTTGCACAATCAAGATTTGTGTTAATGATCACAAAACAGCCATTGTTAAAGTCTGTTAAAGTCTAATGAGATTTGAGTCCAACACCTGAAGGGCTGAAGATTCCCTCATCTATCTAGCAAACACTGTCCCATCATCATATTCAAAGAATGCTATGTTATGTGAACATAGCTATGATATCTTTCAAACAGATTTCTAAATATGACAACAAAAACAAAACCCATAACATACTTTAAGCATCTTGCTGAATCTAGGAAACATCATTGTTTGTTCTCACCTTATGCAAATTAAGCCTAAATTATACTTCATTCAACATGACTTTTTCATGTACAATGCATCCCACTGAATTCTCAGATAGCTTTTTAACTGCCTGAAGATCAGTTCTGCTCTAGAATTTCTTTGAGTGATCTGAGCATTTTAAAGTAACAAATTTATTAGGGCATGCTCTCTTAATCAGATGCATTAAGGTCACGCAGAGTGAACTCTGTTGGTTGAAAAGCTGATGAATAAGGAACCTTTTGTGAGGGTTTAGAAATTGAATTAGCCATAACAAAGTCTCACTGAAATTTGTGAGGCTTAAAATAGCTTGGTGACTAATTGTCTCAATGACTTCAATGTTTCTAATCAGTAATATGGTCTGTATTCTAAAACAATAGTAACAGCCTCAAATACTGCATTAAACAGATTTGAACAAACAAAACTTGAAAAATACTACCGTAAGCTACGTTTCTTCATTTTAAATATGTATGCTAATCAAATACACTTTATCCCAAGCAATGCTGAGGGAATTATAAAAAACTTTCTATACAGGCAGGCTTTAAAATTGATCCCAAAATGGAGTAGAAAGATTTTCATGGATGCTAAAAACAACTCTTGGACGCTCCCCAAATCACAAGCATTTACCTGCCTTTGGTTCCAATGCAGCATGGCCTTCCTTTAATATCACAGTCCATATGCAAGAAACCAGTGTGGTTACTTTTGACCTGATCAGTACATATCTGTAAATAAAAGAGGTTTACAATTAAAGGGGAAAAGGGATGGGGGAGATACACCCAATGTTATTTTAATTTTGCATAGCTACCTATAGTATAGAGTTATATTTTAGGCGATGGAAAAGTAAGACCACCACCACCAATACCATATCCCAAGATAGCAAACATATAATTAAAATAGTTTGTTCATTTTGTTGAAACTTGGGCTCAGAAAACAAAGATTCCTACTTGTATCCTTATGACTTGTTTACATGGAAAAGTGGACTAGGGTATGGCTATATGTGTGGACACTTCTGCACACATGCTACATAAAAACATGCATCTGAAGTTCCTTCATTCCAACAGCAGAGGGTCTTTGGCACAGGGTTGAATTGTGGAATCCTTAGTGCTTGCAGATGTTTCATTACCTAACTAGCATCATCCATGGAATGTGAGGATGACCTTGGGGAATGAGGAGGTGAGATGATCTCTTGGAAGCAGGCAAGAGAGGCAGAAGTCTCGGTAGCTTAGGGGTCAGAGAAAGAAATTTAGAAAGGGCCCGCCCTAATTGATCAGGCAGTTAAAAGTGGATATGGCAAGTTTGTACTTTCAGACTAGTAAGACTCTTACAATTAAATAGAATTAGTTCTTCTAGTCGTGTTTCCTGTCTAGTTTACCTGGGAGGGCTGACAGCTAGCGAGTGTAAGGTTTGCTGTGCAATAAGTACAGCAGCTTGTCCTGCCAGTTTGGGTGGAGATATGGTTTTCTTCTTGGTATTTCCTTATTTGTTGCTTGATTGTTTGCCAACATCCATGTAAGCAAGGATTAACACGAGACACCCACACTGGTACTGATGATGTTAACTAGTTGCGTAATGAAACATCTAAAGCAAATAGCCAAGCTTAGATAGCACCAAGGATTTCACAGTCCCTACACTGCATTTTTCCCCTCTACATACTTCCCTTCCATTTTATCCTAGTTTGTGTGGTTCTAGAAACTCTCTTGCTACAATTCAATGCCTCACTCCATGTAAGAAGTACAAACAGGGTACCAAAACCCACCCTGTTTGAATTTGATAAATAGGTATTACTTAGAAAAAAAAAAACCATGCATGCACGCAGGAACTCCCAGTTCCTTCTTTCATTAGGCAGACTCCTCTATGAAGCAAACTGCTGCGCCAGGTAACCAGGCAAACGAACAGCTCAAACAGCTTCCTTCTTTCTTATTCTCACATAAAATCATTTTCAGTTGACATAGAAATTAGTGAGACAATTAACAGTGATGATTTATTTAAGCGCCATCAAGCTCAGTGAGACTCAGTTGTTTCAAAGGAAGGAAAGTAGGTAGGAAGGAAAGATCTTTACTGGCCACTTGGTGATGTCATCTGGCCAGGCATGAGGTGGATTTGAAGCTGGTTCCTCACAGGTCCTGTTGGAAGATAAACAGATAGCCGTGAAGAGTTAGAAATACCATAACATCTTACATTCCATGCTTCCCCCTTCTCATCTTATTCTTAAAGACACATGACCTTTGTTGAGGTGAAGATATGTCTCACCTGGGATCCTGAGAACAAACTGCTCCTGATATCCTTCTCTGACTTGAATTGCTGGGGTCAACAGCTGGTGGATTATTGTCTGGCCATTTTACGAATGTGGCTAATGTTTCCTATAGAGGAAAAAAATGACTTTGTAAACTATGTATCACAGTATCCACAAGCAATAGTCCTATAATACAGGGGTCCCCAACCGCCGGTCCGCGGACCGGTACCGGGCCGCGGAACAACCCTTACCGGGCCGCTGGTTGCTGGGCGCCGCCATCTTTTTTTTGGTAAAAAAGCGCTTCTGGTGAGCTTTTCCGGGTAGAAAGCTCACCGGAAGCGCCTTTTCGTCATAAAAAGATGGCGGCGCCCAGTTGACGCCGGTACCGGGCCGCGGCGCCCAGCTGATGTCGGAACCGGGCCGCGGCGTCGAAAAGGTTGGGGATCCCTGCTATAATATACACATCCAGATTTTTAAAGGAATAAAAATCTCATCAGAAGTCTCATATAATTTTCTCCAACATGTGATCTCCCTTATGACCATGATCACCTTCACTGAGAATGTTATTTAAGTACAATAACTACCCTATAAAAATTAAGTAAAGTAGATTCTAGAAAACATGGAGGGTGGCTTCAATTATTATTTTTAAAATGTATAGTAATTATATTAAATTAAAGTTTATAGTAATTATATTAATCACATGACCAGGCACAGTCCATAAAAATTGAGAATTCTGGAACTGTTAACAATATTTGAAACGCGACTGCTACAATAGAATTTAAATGTGCATTTTATTAATCGGCTTTTCCTCTGCCTTATTTCCAGAAAACAGTGGTCACTAACCTCACAGGAAAAAAATTATGGCAGAATTAAATCATGATTCTCAAAGCTCATGAAAGTCGTATGGAAGCTTTCTTCAACTTGAAACCTAGTGGTTGGGAATTCTGGAAGACGCAGTCCCAACGTCATTTCAAACCCCAGTCTGAAGGAGGTCAATTATCAGCTGTCAGAATTATGCTCTTACCGAGCAATCCTCACGCAGAGTCTGAACACAGCCTGAGTTATCATTCTGGACACAGCAGCCAGAGTGATGCTCTTTCTCCCTCTCTTTCTGAATCAGCTTCTCAATCTGTTGGTCCTTCCGGATACAGGGGGAGAACTTGGCTCCCAGATGGATCAAGTCAATCTGAAATAGAAAGCGGCAGTGTGAAAAACATTCAAGAAGCAAGGATTTTGCAAGGTAACGTCTCCTCTCACCCCATCCCAGTGAGTGGTGGAGGACTTTAGCAAAAACTATGCATACTGAGATGACTTAAAGGGCTAAGCTGCATGCTCCCTTTTGTTACTGTTGTGGAAGATGGATGCATTGCTATGCATGTTCCATAACGGTAATAAATATAAAAGTGCCACCTATAGATTCTTCCTCTTCCGGGTCTCATGAAAACGTTGGATTAAGTAGAACTATGTGTTGTGCATTCCAGAAGAATTTGCATGTGTCCCTTTCCTTACAGCTCTTATATATAAATGTAAAATATTCTTCTTGGGAATTCAATGGAGTAGTTAACATTCTCAGCTGGCCCTTAAATACTTCTTTTTTTGTGGTATATTTTCTCAATTAGGGTTGAAAAATATGTGAGAGAAATTAAACCACGAATGCCAAGATGGAGAAAATACCCATTGATAGGGAGCAGTCTATTTTTTCATGTGATGCAGCTGGTGATCATATGATACACTGGAGTCCATGTCTCCAATGGGAATAACAACCTGTGAGCACCATGCAGCTGCCATCCATTTTTTGAACCTTCAGAACCTGCAAAATCACACTACTAAAATCTGATGACAAGTTACTGAACTACAGCTTGGTTGTTGAGAAGGGAATCTGCTTAATTGTAGTTTAGCAACATCTGCTAGGGTCTCTACCTTTGCTCTAGTTCAGGGGTTTCCAACCTTGGCAACTTTAAGACTTTAAGGCTTTGCTGGCTGAGGAATTCTGGGAGTTGAAGTCCACAAGTCTTAAAGTTGCCAAGGTTGGACACCCCTGCTCTAGTTGGTTACAATCAATTCAGACCAGGAAGTTACAGACTTCTTATCCAATGAGTCATTTGGAGTAGCACATGGCAGAAATTTCTTTTTAGAAGAAAGCAATGGGGGGAGGAAAAAAAAGACAGTCTTTACCGAACTTGGACCAATCCAGAAGTTCTCCTGTTGGATATATTTCACACTTTCATACACACCTTTGTTTCGTAGTATCTGCAAAACAATGATGAAGTTCTACGGTCAAAGAAATAGCAAGTATTTCAAGGTATAGATTAGATGGGACCTTTTCCCCGTAAATGGCAAAAGATAGAAGTCAGTGGGAGTGGCCATCTGAGTGTGTCATATTTTCAAAACCTTTCACAAAAAGGGTTACATAGCAAAACTGAAGAAGACTTATTCAAGGGAAACCATTTCAAATCTTTTTTTTCCTTTTTTTTCTAACCTGCATTTGAATGTAGTCTTGCATTTTTTTTTTCTGGGTAGCAATAACAATAGCGCTTAGACTTATACGGTGCTCTACAGCCCTCTCTAAGCGGTTTTACAGTCTCAGTGTATTGCCCCCAACAATCTGGCTCCTCATTTTATTGACCTGGGGAGGATGGAAGGATGAGTCAACCTTGAACCAGTGAGACTTGAACTGCCAACCTGCAGGCAGCTGGTAGCCAGCAGCTAGCAGAAGTAGCCTGCAGTACTACAGTCTAACCATGGTGCCTCGTGGCTCATAGATTGCATCAAAGAATCTTAGCCCAATTATTGCCTTAGTTATATTGCCAAAAGAAAAGTATGCAAATCTTGGCTTCTCTGGCTGCAGATTTTAGGGTTTTGGCATTGGGCCAATTATTGCCATTCAACATAGAATATTATCTACTAGAGGACTCTGAAGATTTTCTGGACATTCCAGTTGCCACAGCATGTTATATACCCCATGTTTGGATCTGCTAGATGTATGGAAAATACCTGAGAAGATCGACATTGAGAGGGAGTCAGTTTTCAGGTCCAGTTTGACCTGCTGTTTTGAACTTTCAAGTCCCAAGGGTTTAAATCCAGGGTGTCTCCCTCCGGGATCTTCCTCCAGATCCAATGGAGCTACAGAATTCTCAGCTGACCCAGCTATGGGGCCCTTCTGACTGGGAATTCTGAGAATAATGGTTGCAGTGCACCTGCAGGGCAACTGATTAAGGAAGGCTGATTTAAGATCAGCAGACAGAGTCCTGCTCCCAGTATCAGGATTGCTTGAACTGACTGGGTGCCAATTCATTGCCCGGCTAATACAAAGAGCAGTGTGTGACTAGTTCAGTAGATTAGATTATTATTTTTTTAATTCTTAAAATATGAATTAAAATCATGTTGTTCTATTGAGCATTTGGAGAAAGGTTGCATTTTACTTCAAAAATCTTCATTTGTAATCAATATGTAATGGTTACATATGCAGGCTTTATTTTCAATAGTTTACATCGTACAAGTAGTCCTTGTTTAGTGACCACAATTGGGAATACCTGTTGTTAAATGATATGGTCACTAAGTGAAACAGTAACTGTGCTTACGATCTTACTTTAGCTTTCCTTTGCTCTCCTGATCTACAAAGGACATACTGTGAGGATTGGTTGCAAAGTTACTTTTTTCATCAGTTGTAATTGGGAATGGTCACTAAATGAGGAAATAGCTAAACAAGCACTAATTATATACAAAGATATCTTTGAAATAGTAGCTGGTCACCCAGAGGTTTTTAAAAGACAGGATAGAAAAGATGTTGATGTTTTCACATTTCACAGAAATCACAAAGTAAGCAGTACTGAAATATAATTAGACTCACTAATTCTGTTTTCACATGCTGAGCAAAGCCGATTGGAGCAAATCCGTAAGTGCAAATGATAAGTAGAGTGATGATGATGTGGACAAATGTGATCCAGTACGTAAAATAAGGCCTGTTTCAGACAGAACAGAAAGAAAAGGTAGTGGAAAGTGTCAGTAACCCGAAAGGATTCTGTAGAGAAATCTCAGTCTGATATTCTTTATTAAGAAAGAGATTACATAAACTAATCCGAACATGTAAGATTTTATGTACTGTTTCACAGTGTTTTCTAGCCCTGTCTAAGTTGTTTACAAAGTTAACATATTGCCCTCAATAATCTCAATCTCTATTTTACCAACCTTGGAAGGATGGAAGGCTGAGTCAACCTTGAGCCCGGTGAGAATCGAACTGCTGGCAGTTGGCAGAATTAACCTGCAACACTGCATTCTAATCACTGCATTGCTACCACTACACCTAAACCTTTAGAAAGCATGGCTAATTCAGGAAGTATCTGATCCACAAAAGACAATGAATGTGCAGCATCCAGGACACAACAGGGAAAAGAACACAAAACGACAGATAATTTCTGCGGGCAAAATATCCCCAATTGAAATATACTCCTTGCCCACCTACAAATAGATCGTTTATTTCTGCTATGGGCGGACACTCTTTGGAGTGACTTAATTACTGATATGTTGCATTTCTATCCCACTTCTTCTCTGAGTTCAAAGAGGCACTTAAAAAGGACTCCTTTAAGTTCATCCCCCTAGCAATCCAGCTGGGTCAGGTTGGACTGCAAGAAAATGACTAATCCATAGTCACCCTGGAACTTTGGTGGTCTGCTGCTACCTGTGGCTGTCTGTGATCTCCAGCTGTGACCGTACCACACTGCTGATGCTCCGACGATACGTTCTGTTCAACCAGTTGCCCACCACTCCCATCCCATAGTAGCGCTTCTTGTGGTCAAAGGCAAAATTCTTCACCCTGGCAGCAATCCGAGTGCCCCTCTTGGGAGCAGTTGTTGTTTGCTGGAGGCTTTTGAGGGCAATGGCTCCTCCATGCCTGCAGAACAAGAAAGGACATATTTGAAAACTCAGCTTGAGTTTGACAGCAAGACAGCAGAGATAGACGTAGAATTATTCCAGGATTCTAAGAATTAATTGTGTTCTGCATATGTTCCTTGATCTCAGCAAATGTGTAGGTCTTTGAAGCATCATGGGCCCCATGCAACGACAGTAGGTAGTCCTTGACTTATAACAGTTTTGTGACCGTTCAAAGTTAAAACGGCACTGGAAAAAAGTGACTTCTGACCATTTTTCACACGTATGACCATTGCTACATCCCCAGGGTCACGTGATTTACATTCAGATGCTTAGCAACTGGTTCATATTTATGACAGTTGCAGTGTCCTGGGGTTCATCTGACCATGTTTTGCGACCTTCCGACAAGCAAAGTCAGTGGGGAAGCCAGATTCACTTAACAACCAGGTGACTAACTTATCAGGTGCAGTGATTCACTGAGCAACGGTGGCAAAAAAAAATCATAAAATGGGGCAAAGCTCACTTAACAAGTCTCTCACTTAGCAACATTCTGGGTTCCATTTTGACTGTGAGTCAAGGACTACCTGTAATCGGTTCTCTTTTTGCCTCCCCTCTACCACAGCATGTTTTCTTTTTCAATGACTACTTTATGCAGAGAAAGATAAGATGATCAATAGGAGCAGTTGATTGAGCTAAGTTCAATCTCGAACAGGAAATTCTTTCTGGGAAATGATAAGATGACCAAGATTCAAGCGTCTTGTTTGATTCTTCAGTGCATCAGAGTTACTTCTCTGAATTTTTAATATCATCTTTCCTCTCCTCCACTATGCTTGCATTAGTCTTTTCCTCCTTGCATCTGTCACCTTCTCTATAACACTCAGATGTAAATATCTTTAGCATCTAAGGCAAGCAATTCAAGCATTGTCTACAACAAACCCCCCCCCCCCCCCAAGCTCTGGTCCATGGACCATTCAAAGTTACAACTGGGCTGTGCAAACAAGTGACGTCCCATAGGTGGGATGCAGGCAACACATAAAATTACACATCCAATGGGGAAAAACCATTCCCCATAGAAATGGGCCCAAAAGGTTGGGGGCCACTGGTCTACAACTCTTAGGTGTAAATGTCTTCAGCATTTAAGACAAGCAATTCAAGTGGCCAATCTTGTTTCAAAAGGCTAGTTCCCTGCTTCATATTCTCCTGTTCCAAAGCTTTCACTTTCTGAGCAAAGCCCATTACTGGAAAGCTGTTTAAATGGTCTTTGCAGTGAAAGTAATATTCATATTCATAATAGAAATGTTGTCTCCATCCTTCACATACTTGTCAGGATGACGTACTTTATAAAAACCTTAAAACACTGTACAGTGGAACCCCGGGTCACGAATGCTTCTGTTCACGAGCAAATCGGGTAACAACCAAAAATTTGGGAAAATTGTTGCTTCTGGTCGCGAACAGATCCTCAGGTGCCGATCAAATACAGCCGCTGCGATTTTCTTTGCTGCAGCAATTTCCCCTTCCGCACATGCACAGAACTGTAGCCGCACGCGCAGTCTAGTCTCGCTTCTGTTTGCGACCAAATCAGGTTGCAACCAAAGTCCTGGAATGGATTACAGTCGTGACCCAAGGTCCCACTGTATTTATAATCCAGTCCCGAAGCAGCAAAAGCAGCAGTAGAGTTTATAGTTCACTGGCAGGTCAATTGTTATTGACAAATGGAAGCCCTTTATTTTAGGATTGTTTTAAAAGGTTTGCTGTGACAAAGTAGCCTTTACAGAAAGAAGAATCCAAAACAAGAATGCCATAGAGGAAAAGGGCTTTTTTTTGCTCAGTAGCTTCACATCACCTCTGGAGTAGGAAAGCTTTGTTTCCAGGTGATTGTGGCAACAATAGCTCACAGTTGGTGACATGAATCAGGGCACATTTCCTATGAACAGGAGGCTATGCTTCTCTTCTATCAGTCTAAATGGGTCTCCAAGACTCACTGGAAAGGTAGGTCGGCCTCGGGCGACTTGCCGTCTTCTTGCAAGGGAAGCCCACGGTAGACAGTAGCAGAGAGAGGTGGGGATTCAAATACATCATCTTGCATGGAGCACATCTCCTCGTGTGCATCAACCTGTAAGAAAGGGGAATTGTTCCTCGTGGCCCCATTTAAAATGAGAATTGTATACCTTGTTCAGTGAGGGATCCAGTCATTCTGGCAAACACCGTTGTCTGTCTGTCTGTCTATCTATCTATCTATCTATCTATCTATCTATCTATCTATCTATCT